TTTTTATTTATTATTTTTTTTTTTTGACATTGCACACCTAAAAACAGAGAATTTCAGAAAGAAATAAAATCTATTTAATTAAAATTAAATCTTACATTTTAAATAATTATTGAAAAAGCAGTAAATAAAATATAGTTTTTGCAGGAAGGCGCACAATTGAGCAGACACAACCTTTTCTAAAATTTTAGACATAAAAGGAAGATTTGTAATGGGTCTGTAATTTGCCAGTTCACTAGGATCTAGTTGTGGTTTCTTAATAAGAGGCTTAATAACCGCCAGCTTGAATGGTTTTGGGACGTGACCTAAAGACAACGACGAGTTAATAATATTGTTTATTTTACAGGTTCACCACACCATATTAAATGAGTTGTGAGTTGTAAATGAGTTAGCACTTTACCACTGTGGATGAAAAATTAGATGAGGACATCAAATGGCATTATGACAATTGTTTCAAAAAGAGAACCCTCATTTTAAGAAGGGCTCAGAGAAGCAAGGATTTTTCAAGCATAAAGAAAACCTTATTTCAGCATTAGGTGAGCATCATTGTGGAGGTGAGAGATTAGAATCACTCAGCTCAGAAGCATACTGACTTCATACTGCCATATTGATCTACCTACCTACCTATTTATTTATTTATTTTTATTCTCATGTTTTTATTTATAAGGTTTTATTTTATTTTTTTCTTTCTTTCGCCAAAACAGGTCAAGAAACGGAAACACAATACAGAATAAGATACTGTATTTTATCAGAAAAATGTCTGTACTAATGTCTGTTTTGACGTCTAATTGTACTAGTTATCAAGTAGATGTTTAATAGGACTATATCAATTTGATAAAAATCATTACATTTACATTTATGCATTTGACAATGCTTTTTTTTCTAAAGCGACTTGCATTCCCAGGGTATCATAACCTTGATGTTGCTAGTACCATCCTCTACAGGAACAAAAGCCATCATGTCACCTCATGAATAATTAATTTGGGTTCACTTTGCCATTCACTTGTCAGATCACAAACCCCCCCCCCCCCCTCA